TAATAATAATAATAATAATAATGTAGGAAGAAGAAGTGGCTTATCTATGGTCTTAATGTATCTTCCTAAACAAAGCACTTCTGCCAGCTAAAAATACCATTTCTTGGGTTTTGGGCAAGGAGTGACCCACCTGCCCCCACACATCGATAGTGGCATGAAGCAGCTGTGGGATCACTGGGGGACCACGGGATTCCCTGGCACGAGCAATGGTTTGTAAATGGGAAGCTGTTGCTTATTCCCGTCTCTCCTCGCCTCCTTGGCAGTGTCTGTAGGGATTAGATGGACTAGCCCTGTTCATATAACCCCTCTCGGTGTCCCGAGCTGAGCAGAAAAGGACAGTCATAAAAGCCTGGTTAAAAATAGGCAAATGCAGAGGCTGGAGCGACACAGGGGTAACGGGTGTTTCTTCCTCTTTGGCAGAAAGGATGTATCCCTGGGGAAACAAGTTTCAGCCGAACCGTACAAATCTGTGGCAGGTAAGATCCTAAAAATCATCCTGTCTACGCTGAACTCTTCTGAGGGAGGTGTTTAACTCGACAGAGAGTGTGCGTGGCTGCCTGAGCAGGCTGCGTGGTCCCGGGAAGCAGTGCAGGCTTACCTGCAGGGTACCGCAGTTCAGCTCCTGGTGGGTTATCCGAAATACCCTGGGAGGGAGCAGACTCAGCCCAGCTTCCCTGGGAAACCAGGATTTCAATGCTTCCAAAAATTCATACATATCCAAAAATTTATACATAAATTTGTTTGAAAAGGGGGTTGTCTTGGGAGGACTTCAGATGGTTGATCTCCTCTCTCAGCCAGAAATGCTGCGTAGAGTTAATTTGCAACAGAGAGTTATTTCCACTATTTAAGTGTAACACATGCTGTGAAGACCCTGTCATCTCCGTGGTGGGTCTTTGCTTGGAGTGATCTTTCTTCCCACAGGGCAATTTCCCGAGGGTCGACACGGCTGAAGATGGTTATCATGGCGTCTCGCCGGTGGCAGCGTTCCCTCCTCAGAACAACTATGGTACGGAGCAGACATCCCCACCCTGGTTTCGGGGATGGCATCTGCTTCCTCATATCCATTCAATGCTAATTATAAAATCCTGTAATTGTAGCAAGGTTTCAGATATGACATAGGATCACGCTGGCATCTTGATAGAATAACGGAGCCCAGCAAAAGCACTGATGGTTGTTATTGACGTTGGCTGACATGCACCTAGTGCACTTCAACGCACCAAACCGTCCCCTGCTTTTCATTAGCAGTCAGTTATTTTGCATTTCCATGTGATTTACCTGAAAATCCCAAGCATGTTGTTTTGAGGGCAGCGGATGCCGTGCCCTCACGCAGGTGGGAAACAATGAGTCACGTTTAAATGAGAGATTTTGAAGGTTGAGTTGTAAACAGGGGCCAGTTTGCAATACAGTAAAGAGCTTCTGGTTCCCAGTCTCACCATTAAACCACACTCCTGCAGCGATGCTTTGAATGTTGCGGCCCTCCCCCCCGCCCCCCCCAAGTGCTTTTGCAGCCTTTGCAAAAATGTGCTTTCATAATCCTGATGCAAAACCATCCGTGTCTCAGGGCTCTATGACCTGCTGGGAAACACCTGGGAGTGGACCGCGTCGGAGTACCTGACCCCGGGGCTCTCATCGAGGCAGCGCGCTCAGAACATGCAGGTCCTGAGAGGTGCCTCGTGGATTGACACTGCAGATGGGTCTGCAAATCATAAAGCTCGTGTTACTACCAGGTAGGTCTGGGCAATGCCCAGGCACTCTTTCGCAGTGATTTCTTCTGGCTTGGTTTTATTTGGAAGGGGGTTTTACTGTAAAAGACATTTGTTTGTTCCTACTCAATTTTTCTGAGAAGCAGATAGGAAAACATACTACAAATACCGCTAAAAATTTTCCTGCTACAAATACGTTCCTAATTGCTTCTCAAATTGCGTATTTTCCATCAAGTATTTAGAATTAAATGCTTCTCTTGAGGTTATTCAAGGGAAGTGGAAGATGTTTCTAGTCTGTTACAGAGGGTCACACTAAAGGATGTAAGCGTTAACTAGGAAGGATCCCTAACTTTGTGTCTCTTTTTCCCCGTGAGAATGGGGAATACGCCGGACTCAGCCTCCGACAACCTCAGCTTCCGCTGCGCTGCCGACGTCCCGCCCGTCACGGCCGAGAAAAGCCGGACCAAACCCGAGCTCTGAAGAGGTCGCTCAGGAAGACCTGAAGGCATTTTCTCCTGTGGAGAACAGTAACCCCCAGCAGGCAGTCATCAGGGCAGTTTTGAAAATTAAAAATAAATACTTTCAGCTAAAACTCCTTTCCGCACTGGGACATCTGGGCACGAGCAGCGATTGGGAATGGCAGGCAGGGCGTTTTGTCTTTAATGTCCTCTTGGTGTAGTAGGTATTACAGCTCTCCTTTCGGTGTCTGTTTTAAATAAGCAGAGGGGTGCGTGTGTGTGGGACCGGGCCCCTGCAGCCCCAGCCGGAGCGAGCAAATAAAAACACACGCCGCCCCCCCCCCGTGCCCGCCGGCATGGGGCTGCTGTGAGGGGCGGCTGCAGGGGGGCAGCGATGGGGCCACGTCCCTGGAAGGGAGACTCGTACATCAGTCGCCATCTCCTTGGAAAATCCCAGCTTCGTACCAGCCCCCGAGCCTTCCCAGAAGTGAAACAGGGTGCCTTTATTGACCCTTGAACAGTGGCAAAACCACGTGTGTGCTTGTTTCTAAGTGCATAGATGACACAAACCAGTGACCCATCTCTCCCAGGTGTTACAGCCAGCATAAGGGCTACAAACCGGCTTTGCAAGCTCTGCCACCAAAGCCCCGAGCACACGGGTGGGCGAGGACACCCCTCCAGGCACTGCTCATCCCTCCTCCACCTGCGACTGCCCCAAAAGGGTCCCGCTCCAGGGCCCAGCTGAGCCTTCCCCAGCAGATCTGCTGCTCCAAGCACATCGGGAGCTGCAGCTGGTTACAGCTCTATTAGAGGCAGCTTCTCCAAACCCATCCCTGACACTGGGACATACCCCAGGGGCAAATCGCAGCCGTTTGCTGGGTTTGCATTTGCACCTGACCCGAGACCAGCCGTATCTCTAAGAAAAAGCGAAAGAAATCACCGGTTGGTTTTCAAAGATTTTACTTGCCTTAACTCTGAGCAAACTCATCGGCTTACGCAGTGGCAATCAAAACAGCCCTTCCTCGGCTGCCAGGGTCAGCAAAATGGCCTTGCAGGTGTTCTCAAAGAGGGCGGCTCTGTTCTGAGCCTCCCCCTTCTTCACCCAGTGCCGGTAGGTCCTGAAGGCGCAGGCGTCGATCAGTTTGCGGATGGGCTTCAGGGCATACGGGTCCCGCACCACCAGCTCCCTGGTGACTGACTTGACCAGCCGGTACTGGTAGTAAATACGGACCGATGCCAGGACGGTCAGGCAGATCACCTGCAGCAGGGGGGGAACAGGCTGGAATTTGGGGCCAGTCCTACAACGGGACCGGATCAGCCCCAACACATCCTATTGCTATTTGTGTGGAGGAGTCGGGAGGAGCCCGGCTCCTGGCACAGGTATTTAGTCCCGTGGGAGCGGTACGGGCTTTTTCCAAGCGTGCCCTTAACATCAAAACTGCGGGTCAGTCCTAAACGTGTCACCTAATGCCACTTTGGGTACCTTTGAGCTGCCCTAATGGCTGGAAGGGAAAGGATTCTTCTGTTTTACCAACTTTTGCATCATTTGATGCACCCATGTGATGTCAGGCTCGATTTCCCCTTAGAAGTGATTTTTTTTTGTTTTTAATGATTTGTGGGGGAGGCAGGCTTTTCCCTTGTCTTATTTAATCCTCTTCTGTGAACAAGCCCTTCGGAAGTATCAGAAAGTAGCGAAATAGTGCTTGGAGAAGGGTCTCC